CCAGGAGCCCATAACCACGGCTAAATATGATGGCGTTTTGCCCAAAACACCCTAAGTGAGATCAAAATCCGAAATTTACACCCCTAAGCAAGACGACGAGCATCCCCACCCCTTTCATATGCGGAGTTCCTCCCCCGGGATATCGAGGTACCACTTTAAATAGGTAGATGGCACCATAACAGCAGAGGTGGGCGAGGTATAGTTAGGGCGTATATAACTGGGGTTTTACGGTATATATTTCACACCTCTTTGCTAACAAGGTGAAAAACTGTTAACCTCAACTTGTCTCCCCAACAGGTGAAGCTCCAAGCAGAGAAAATGGCAGGGCAAGAATTTCCTGAATTTAAAGCCATATCATATAAAACTCAAGTTGTAGCTGGAATAAATTACTTCATTAAGGTTAGTTAAAAACGTTCCACACCTACCCCTACCCTAAGCCAAAATTAACACTTACTTCTCACTTAGAACAAAATGTTGGCTTAGGGGAGGGGTAGGTGGGCAGTTTCCCAGAAACGAATAATGATCTCAATGTACGCCGGATCTACTGTCAGTCCCACATTGAACTCAATATGACATCCACGAAGGAATGGGGATTGGGGGAGAGGGGAAATGGAAAGCATTGTGTTTGCCAATTATTATTCAGTTACATAATGATTCCTGTTAGTATAGGTAATAGCATGGTTTGAAGTGTATTTGGCATAAACACTGATAAACACCACGGGTGATATTTCGAAGTTGTTATACGTAATTTCACGAGCCGTTAGGCCAGTGAAAATTGAGACAATTTTAAAATATCACAAGTGGTATTTATGCCAAATATCTCGTACAAAGCAAGCTATTATTTGTTTATACTACTACCAAGCAAAAGGTTTGTAATTTTCGCTTGTAGGCATTTCAAACTATGCTGAAATACTACTGCTCTAAGCCAATCAAATTCCAGAAATTTCTAATGTATTTGTATAATAAAGTTAAGTCAAGCGTTGTCTGTTTCCATAATCACTAATATTCTCATAACACAGCATTCCAGAGAAACGGTCTGCCCGGCCGATGCGGTGTTACTTTCATAATTTTTTGAATAAAGGAGGATCAATAGTTTAAAATGAGGTTTTGTTAAGACATTGTCACCCGCCTAACTCAAATGAACAGCCCCACACTTCGCCGTCAACATAACGCTTCCTGACATGAGCAATGGATGCAGGGCCACTGTGAAACTTTTCACCCGATGTAAGGGAATCCGGATTGCAAAATCCGAGAGGTTTTTGCTCGTTGAATCCGGAATACAGCTCAAGGAATCCGGATTCTGACTAATCAACGGAATCCGGAATCCGGAATCCAAGTTCCAGTGACGAATTCCGGAATCCAGTACCTTGGATCCCTTACATGAGATGGAAGATTCTTCAGAGAAGGGAACAGCCTAGTTAAAGGGGCTCTGTCACTAAATTCAGCCAAAGCTAAAGGCCTCTCGCTGGTCTCGCATAGAAGGCTGCGCACTAAATAAGTGCTATTAAGCCACGCTAAGGCCCGTTTCGAACGTCGTGCTACTACCGTGCCGAACTAAATTGATCGCCGAATCAAATTCGACTTTAGCACGGCAATAGCGCGATGTTTGAAACCTAGTCGTGGTACTGCCGTGTAGCACGGCAAAGCTTTCCGTGCTACACGGCAGTAGCTCGACTTGGTTTCAATCGTCGCGCTACTCTGGCTACTGCCGTGCCGAACTCAATTCTTGAATTATGATAGAATACATTTAAAAGTTTGCTAAACCGTTTCTATATTTTTGCGTTTTGTTTTCGGCAACAGGCGTTCTGTTCAGTTCGATTGAAATAAATTCGACGTCTGAAACCAAGTCGTGCTAGTGTCGTTATGCAGTCGAGACAGCTTAGCAAGGCAGTAGCACGACGTTTGAAAAAGGACTTCTTATACTCATTCAATTTCCAGTTTTTTTCTTGAATCGGCGTATTAGCCATCAATCTCACTTCCATGCTCTTTTATATAATTATCTATTAGAACGAATGCGTGTCTGATCACAGGCTAAAGGTTTTCTGATGTCTTAAAACTCAAGAGTAACATTGGATCAAAATTCCACGAACAATGAAAACCAATTACATTTATTTACATCGTTTATTAGGGTCCCCTCGGTCTCCGTATCAAGTTGATTTTTTTTGCATCGACATTTCAACATTTTGAATGCTGAAACTTCATAATTGACTCACAGATTACATATTGGAAGTACAGTGCAATCTCGATTTCTCGAACTCTAGGTGTTTCGAAATCCCCGAACTAAACCTAACTTTCTTTACGAGCCACACAGTGTAATTTTACCTCCGATTTTTCAAACCTCCCCATCATTCGAGCCAATTTGATTTCCCCAATGTTGTCCGATAATTCGGGATTCCACTGTATACCTTACTCGAGGGTGGGTTCTTTAAACTGTTAAAATATTTTACCTACAGGTTCATGTTGGCGGTCCTTCCTACGTTCATTTGCGTGTTTTCCAGTCTCTGCCGTGTGATGGATCAACTCTTTCATTAGATGCTATCGAGACAGGAATGACCAAGGACGATCCCATCAACTATTTTGGCTAAAGTCCGGCCACACAAGTTCTACATCAAGACAAAATTCAACCTCGCAGATAGGGTCT